AGTTTTATGATATTATCAAGAAATTCTAATGATTGCTAAAAAATCTTCACAATAATAAAAAAAATTACTAACTATATAATTTTAATTGATGATAATTTTTAATAACATAGAATTTTTAAAAATATTAGAAATTAATACTTAATAGTTGAATTTTGATATTATATTTTGATATTATCAAGAAATTTCTAATAATTACAAATTTTCAAAAGATAATAAAATTCAACTAAATGGTATTGATTAATGATATTTTTAAATTGTATGCTATTAAAAATTATCGTTAATCAAAATTATAGTTAGTATTTTTCTTTATTGTGAACATTTGCAATCATTAGAATTTCTTGATAATATCATAAAAGTAGTGCTGGCAAAAAGGAATCTATATATTTTCAGGGTCTAAAGCGGGTCAACGGAGGGTTTTAACTAAACCCTACTTTGAAACTTTAGCAGGAAAAAAGGAAATTTCGGACATATTGTAGCGCCAAAGTAGGTGCTATTATATACATACGATACAATGCATAACATCTACTTTGACTCTCTTATGCCTACCTCAAAATAAAAGATTAAGGTTCAATATAGGTGCTAAATTTCGACTCGGGATATAAGATATAATATTTTTCTAAATAATATCGGTAGATAATATTATTTTTTATAATTTAATAACTATAAAATTTGTGTTAAATAATAAAATAAATGTTTATCTAACAATTTGCAACAAAAATATTGTATTTGTATTGTAAGAATTGAATTTTCACTCAAATGGTATTGCTGGCTATGCTCTCGCTATTTTTCATTGTTTAAGAAAAATCTTTACGAAACTAAAAAAAGAAGGAAAGACGTGCATCAGAACAAAAGTGTGACAAACGCACGAATACGTCAATGTACCTGCGAGTCTAACCACAAAATCATCAGAAAATATATGACGATAGAGTCAGACTTAATGTTCGGAATACGAGATTTTCCTGTTCTCTGTTTGCAACATTACATTCTTAGCTGTAAAGCCAATGGTCTTCCGACACGCGATTGATGCGAAGAAAAATTGTGATTTTGTTCGCATTACATATGCAAAAAAAAAATACTGAAAAAATATAATTCCACTTATTAGAGACAGAAATTAACATGCGGCAATTTATTTTGCGTCATTATTGCTCATGCTATTAAAGATAATGTGAAAATTGCATTTGGCAAATAAAATGAAATCTGAAGATATTAACATGCGTTTATACGAAGAATTAGTAAAAAAAAAACTATAAAACTTCTGAGTCTAAGAAATAAATCAAAAGACATACATTATTAATATAAAGCTGCATTTATAATATAACAATTAATACACTTTTATTTACGTTTTCATCTTTAATGGCCAATATTAAAATTAGAAATAAGCACTTTATATATTCTATTAATCGAAGAAATGAGAAAAAAATGTTATATTTGGTCGCATAAACATGGAGATAAGAAGATGATGAACAGGTAAATAACTTGTTTTAGACGTACGTGTCATGTATCGTGGATATATCGCGTGGTGTAGTGTTTCAGTGCGATGCATCATTGTATGGCGATAGCGGGCTCCCTTGTGGATTGCCATATTTTAGCGCACTGATTTTTTTGGTTTGTGTAAGTACGCGGTATGCCTGGCAATTGAGCGGCCATTGCAGCAGTCGTATTGTGGAAGCACATAATGCGTTATAAGGGTGCATTTGTAAAGAAGTACCGCATATTTAAAATTGTATTCGTGTGTCTTGTAAAGACTTACCATATTATTTTACTCAACTCTCGATCAAGTCGTTTGTTGTTTCATTATTCTTTTCCACACAGTGTAAAACTATACTATTTACTTTTAAATGTGTCATAAGATTTAGTATTATTTATTTTATGTCGCAAATTGTAATATCTTAGAAACATAAACAACGAATAATTTATTTTTAAATTGAAATTCAATTTTTAATATTATTTATAAATTTTTATACTTAGATAAATATCAAATATTATTTAAATATCGTTAAATAACGTTAAATATTATTTCGATTAACAAATTGTATTTTGTTTTATGTATAATGTAAATTTAAGGAAAACCTGGGTTTTTGTACAGAATAATTATAAGCGTGAAATAAGGAAGCTGGAAGTGTTATGAAACAGAAAAATTTTATTATTCTTTTTGTTACATGAGCCGTGGCCTAAAGGTTCATCGAAAGAAGTGTAATCACAGATGAAGATGTGGAGGGTCGTGCGGTTGTCCCCGGAATATAATTTTCACCGTTTCCGAGATTTCAGCAAGTATCCCGCAACGCCCAAATCCAAATACCTAAAATAAATCACGCATTAATAAAAAACTAATAATTAAAATATCTTAAGTATGAAAACTCTATCTTCCATACTTAATTCTTTTAAAATTAACTGCACAGACAATTTTTCCGATTTTGTTTTGTTCTGAAGATTAATGCAATATAAAATATTCTAGTTTCAAAATTTTGTATTATTATTATTAATTGATACCTCCTTCGCGCTGTAACAATGCCACGCTTTTCCCTCTGCTCCGGCGTTATACGGCTTCCATCGGCGGAAACGAGTCTGGATGCAATTGCAGTTGGTTTTTCCGGCGGACCAGTAGTTCCTGACGGCACGTTTGATAATCGTTTGCCTTGACGATTTTCCTTTGATTTTCTTCTAACATTTAAGTCCGACGATACGACAATTTCATCAAATGTCTGGCCAAAAAATGCTGCATAATTAAAATAACGTTAAGCAAATTACACACTAGAATAATAAAGTGCAAATTAATTGAATTTAAGTTTTAAATAAAAAATCTTTTACTAATTTATCAAATTAAAAACTTATTTAAAACATTTTTAAATAGTTTATTAGATTTAAATAATATTTTTTGTATTTTGTATAATTTATGTATAATATATAATAATTCACAAAAAATATGTAACAAAAATTTTTGAAAATCTGAAGTTAAGTCAATCTTAATTGTTTTTACTTACTTTTTTCATTAGATGCCGTCTCCTGAGCATTGATTATGACACATATTGTACTGAGTACCAAAAGGACAAATATTTTTATCATTTTGTAACGGAAATTTTAATATGTCCCAAGTCCAAAAGTTTTGTTACCCTATAAAATAAATAAGCAGAAACGACGTATAAGATACAAAATAAATTATCATGCTGATTTACAATATTTATATTATCGACACTCTCTTATAAATAATTAATATGTATCCGATTATAATTAATATTAAATTGTTTGTTTAATTAACATAATCCTCTGTGGCTATTTTATTGTTCAAAAGAAAAATTAAGTTACGCAGAAATAAACGTTCAATCTCATGAGCATACAAAAAACAGACTTCCATTCTCTGATTCGTAAAACACATGATACATTAGCAGCAAAAACTTACAATATTTTCTCATAAAGAAATACATTGGTTAATTATTATTTGTCTTGCGTCATGTCTGTATAATGTCAAGAACTCTTACTGTCAATCGGCTTCAATGTTAAAAATCCTTCGTGACTTCGCAATCACCATTCGTAAGAACGCGAGTTCGAAGAATTACTAATTGAGTCACCTTCTCTAGAGCAGTCACAGCACTGGCAGAATCTTACGTAAAAGCAACTGGCTTGTGCAACTCAATAGCGTTATCGCAATTAGATAGTTGGTATAACAGAGCATAAGCTTCATATAAATTGACATTAAGTATCTTAGAAATTAGTTTTCTTCTCAAATCCATGTTTACTGATAAAATTTCATTAAAATCCAACTGATTTAAAGCGAATAATATTATATACAAAAAAATTTTTTTTTAAATATTTTAAATAATAAATTAAACAATAAACATTTTTGTATTTTTTCAAAAATTTATGAAAAGTTACAAAATTTTTTTATTCCCAAAAATAAAGAAGAATACTTTCTTCAAGCATTCGTCAGTAGAAGAAAACGACTATAGACCAACATTATATTGCGAATGCACTCGTGTATATTTTTAGATCGACTTTCTCGAATCTAATCATTTAAAAATCAAATTTTAATATTGTGTAAAAACGAAAGTTTTGCTTATATAATATTCAAGTTGTCTCTCACGTATATAAGCGTTAAAAAATCTAAAAAACCTATCCAAGTATCTGGATTAAAAAAAATATGGATCGAATAAAAATAAAAAAACAGCCATCTAACCGTCTTTGAAAAATTAAAATATTTTTTAGATAATTGTATTTTTTTAGACCATAATGTATTTAATTATTATAATTATAATAAACAATAAATCGCGCTTATATAATTTCTAAATTTATTGGATTCTAAAATCGATTGAAAAAAAGTGAGGAAAGAACTGAATTTTATATCAACGAAAAAATTGTTATAAGTTCAACACTCTCTCTCTTCTCTACAATTAATTCTTATCACTGCTACTTTCGCGCGACATCCTTTCCTACGATTTCGTAAAACGACAGGGCAAACCTTCTCATAGCCGACAGAGTTTCACTTACTTTTACCAAAAGACCTCGGACTTAGCACTCAGTATTAAGCAATACGTGTCTCGACTTACCGGCGATAAGTTGAGGATACTTTCCGAGTCGACAACCGCACGAGAAATGCGAGCACAATGACGCGGGAGCCTTCAAGAAAGCACCGCGAGTTTGCTATAGTGCGTGGAAAACAGGAACAGGACACACGGATACCACCAGGAGGAGGCGCTTTAAAGGCGTCATATACTGTAGTTTGTTGCACCGGCCGGACCACTTTCTATTTCATTTTTTCTTCTCGATTCTCCCCCTCTCCTCTCCTTCTCTTTTAAACTTCTCTCTCTTTATCCAAATGAATCTTGCGTTCTTTCTCTTTTTACTCAGACGGAGGGACTGGTTTACCGGCTGGCAGGGCCGGAGGTACCCAGAAACGGCTAAACAATGGTTAACAACGACAAGACAGACCTTTAACGAGCTTCTTTGACGCGTATCGTGAATGTCACTTCTGTAGGGTGAACGCTATGATGCAGGATTGTTGGCCTTATCGGTCGATGATCCCCCGAAGAAATTTTTTCCTACATAAATTGAGGGAAAATAAAATCTGAGAAATCTGCTTACTGGTTTCAGTAAGAATTTGTTAATAACAACGGCAAAATTAAGCTGTTGATTATAAATAAGTTTGGAACATATTTCTTTTAGAAATCATAAAACCCAACTCCAGCTTTGTGTGATTCTAAACGATAAACGGCGCAAAAGAAAATACGTTTAACGATCTTCTGCAGTTCGCAAAATAACAGAGTGCTGCGCCCAGCAAGCAGTAGGTAGTTAACATTAAACCGAATCTTTAATGAGCGAGCGTAATTTCTCAAATATGTTTCCAACTTCTTCTGTGCTTCTGGTCCATACGCGAATATTTTCATCACGATTACCACTGTAGCAAAACTAAAAGAAGTACAAATGATGACTAGAAATTAATTACAGCATATGTAAAATGCACTTTATTTAGCTAAACAAAATCACATGCTTTATAAATAAAATATATAAATATTATTTTGTGTATTTCATACACAAAAGTCTGTAAAATGAGACATAATCAACTTAAGTCGATTAAGGCAAACAATTTTAGTTTTTACTTTCTACAAGTTTTATCATTTTGTTTTTTAAAAATTATTTAACCATATGTTAAAAATTATACTAAAAATATCAATGTATTATTAGTAATATAATATATTACTAGAATTATAAAATATTACGAGATAATATAAAATAAACCGCGTTTCATCGAAGATTCGGGACGCTCTTTAACGAACAAATTTCATCAATCCGTTCTCGATAGAGCGCTGCTTCTTCGAAAGAGGAGAATGAAGAGAGAGTGTATCCTGAAACAGAGGATGTTGCACCGGCAAGGATCGCGTGTGTAGATCGTCCGGTCATTGCACGGGGCTTTTCGGATCTCGATTTCAGGCCCTCGCTCTTTACCGGGCCCTTCTCCCTTTGGCTTCCTATCCCTTTGTGCCGTTTATCCAGCGACCCTCCGTCTCGCGATGTTTTCTCCCTACTACATCGTTCTTCAATCCCTCTATCCTTGCCCTTCTCGCGTCAGTTTTGCCCTCCGTCTCGCTTATTTGTGCGCGTATCGCGGCGCTACGTCGCGATATTTTATCGGTTTTATTTTGGAGAACATCTGGTGGCTGGCATGCGGACAAAGGAAACTTGCTCTCTCAGGAAATCTCAGGAGGCAAGGGGGTGGCTCGCGCACGCGGTTAGGCTTATTTACTTGCTCCTAGTGACGTAGAATGTTTGTAAACAATGGGCCCACAATGATGGCGGAGAGACGATGACCGTGAAATAAATTAGGGGCTGCGTAACTGCGGAGATCTACGGAAGACAGAAAACGTTATTATATGTGTAAAAAGTACATTTCTACTATATACCATTATTAAAGCTGTACAAGTACAGCTGTTCCAAAATCATAATGTTTCGGATAATAAATAAAAACATTCATAAATTATTAAATTTATATGTAAAATAATAGAGGAGTTACATAAATTTACCTATCGGCATAAAGATTGTTGCGTATTTTGAAAAGGGAAAGGCATCACACATGTGGAAACAGTAGATTTTATTTTTAAGATTCTCGAACTGGCTGAGTCATCTTTAATGATAAGAAACATGCTTCTGACAATCTTCTAATTATATTTAATGATTGCGTAGCGAAGGTTGCATCGACATATTCAAGAATTACATACGTTAAAGTCGAATTACGACAATGTTCAAGGCGAATGCATTGTGCCTTGATTATAGCGTAACGTAATGAAACGTTTACAAAATAATGCAAAGAAATCTCTCTAGACATTAGATTTACGCTTGTAAGACTTCAGGTATAAATTTCAAAGCTTAGAAATGTAATAATAATAACGCAATACTATCAAAATTGTGCAATATCAATTTCAAAAATTATCCACCGAAGAAATGGCGAAAGAAGAGTTGGAAAGTAAAAATTACTTCGATATATGATTCAAATTTTTAAGATGCATTGTCAAGTTTGGAGTTTAAAATTGGGCTCAATCTTCTACGTCGGCAATCTGGAACGAGCCGCTTTAAACTTGCTCGCTGGACCCTGGGTTCTCTGACTCCCTTAAAACGAACAATAGCCATTTACTGCATGTCCAAGCGCGTCGCAAGTGTGTGCATAATCGACACTCCGATTCGCGTGTAGGTGCATTTCTCGAGAGATGAAAACAGACCGGTTTGTCGCGCTGAGAGAAGAGCGTCGTACCTAACCCACGGCCCCCAAAACAACAATATGGCGTCTGGCCGTCCCTTTAAAACGAGTTAATCCGTTTGTCTGGCCGTCTGCTGATCGCCTGAGAACCAAGAAGATTCATTTCCCCTTTGTTCATTCTTTTTCACACGTACCCCGAAAGGGCCGCGCGCTTCAATGGCACAATGCGCGAATGCTGCCGCCAGCTCGCATTCGCGGAGCCTTTCCGGGCAGGTCCCACACACACTCGCTCACTCGCGCGCCTATAATCGCTGCTCATGCGCGCACACGCGTGCATAAACTCCGGCGAAAGTGAAATACGCCCGTACTCTCCGGCGAAGATTGTTGCGTCTTCGAAACCCGCCGGGCCCGCCACGCCGAACAGATGTTTCGGGCTCGTTTCATCCGCGATCGGTCAGTGCGCAGCGTGGGGTGTCAGGGGTGAGCAGTGAGATCGCGGCAATATAATGCGAATTGCGGATTCCCGTGCCCGACCGACGGGTTCACCGGGTTCGTTGACCTTTGCCCGAGACGAAGCATACGCGATTTCGTGGGCGGCCGCAGCTGCAGCGTTGCAAATATATTACGGATACTGCAGCAGCATTCTCGGATTTTAATTCTTTTTAAGATGCAAAAGATGCAATATTGCATTTATCTGCAATATTTGACCTGTAGTACATAAGTTGAGCGGAATATTAAAATGGTTTATAATATAAAATTATATGTAATTTGAAAGAAAAGAATATAATTGATTCGACATAAGAAAATCGGATTTTTACAATTATAACAAAATTCTTGCATTCGAATATTTGGATTTTGCACAAAATATTTTCTTTTTACAGACACTGTTTCTCAAAATGAGAAAAATATCCTTAATGCGTGATATATTTAGCATACGAATTGATAAAGATAATTTTAATTAATATTATTTATTTGCAGCGCAAACGATTAGCTATATTAATGAATACATTTATGCATATTATTCTTTCCGTACGTATTATACAATACTATGTAGTTTAAAGATGCTATAACGGAGATATTAAAACATTTAAGCAGAATGTTTATACATATGTTAGCATAGTGAGCCTTCAATTGATTTAATTGATTCATCAAATGTATGATGGATCAAAAGATCCAGCCGAAAATTTACCTCTTCAAAGATTCAAAATCCGTGTCCCGCGGCAGACTGAGCAGCGCTGAATGAAGCTGAGAAAGGCCCGATATTGAAACTCGCGCTCTGTGCATTGGCTTGGCTCTGTCCTCCACCATAAGGACCACTTCCTACAGATCCTGCCGATGCTGAAGCGAAAGACGCTCCTTGTCCTCCATAATGGCCGCCGTAGTTCGGTTGCCATCTGTGTGAATCAGAAAGTAAAATGCAAACGGTTACATATTTCGACATTTATGGAACGTTATTGTAGTATTAGAAAATTATTAAATGTTTAAATTATATATTTAAAATTAATGATTACTTAAAGTCTAAATGTTAATAATGTTAATGTATTTAAGAATTTTTTCTCTAATATTAATGTTGTATTTTTCGTAAAAATTATTTCTAAAAGTAATGTTACAATACCAATCGTAAATAACATTGTTTGCAGAATTTCAATTACTAAGTAAACTAACATTCTATACATACCCTCCGCAACCTCCATAACCGCGGCATCCATGAGGCCTATGTTGGTAATGTGGTTTACGATGAAACTTTCGTTTGCTTCCAAAAAAACGTGCACCATAATCGTAGTCAGAATAATCGCTGATATCGCCTCCTAACAAACCAAATTGCGGAGATCTCTGCTCTCTCTTGGCATCTAAATAAGAATTTCTTCTTTATAATTACATTATTGTTAAAATAAAATATTTATAAAGAACTTGATCCTTTTTAATCTGTCGATGTGAGTATCAATTATTTATTGAAAATTTTAATAATGTTGTGGATTGAATATTAATTATACTAACCTGTTTCAGATGAATTGTTTACAGTTAAGACGACGGGATCCAGCACATCAGAATTTGCTGCAATTTCCGCCGATTTGCTGAGCGATTCTTTTAAAAAAATCACACCAAGTATAGTTATTAAAAATAAATATCTCCTCATCGTGGAACGGAAGTGTCACTGTTAACTGCTGAACGTCTAAAAACGATTCGAAGCTGATCTTCCGTTTCGCGTGCTTTTATAGGAAATCCCTTCACCGTCGAAATTCAAGGAAGTCACCCATTTCACAACGTCGATTTCCAAGCCTGGTTCATCGGTCCTCGGAGTGGTCGACCTTCCGCTTCAGGGACAATCGGAAGTAGACCGCAGACAAACATGCGTGTACACATAGAATTCTTATGCTAACAGATATTAACATGCGTTTGACTTTGACCATACGTTCAAAAGTACCAACTTGAACATCCACTTGAAATTACTTCTTTTCAACGTTATAATGCTTCAAAAAAAATATATATATGTAAGTATGTAAATTTATATTAATATATTTATAAGAATTCTCTCTATCAATAGTAGACGACCTTTCACTTTAAAAGCAATCGGAAATGAATCAGAGACAAATATTTTTAACAAATAAATAAAATTATACAAATAGCTCTTAAGATATGCTTTGATCACATGTTTAGAGAAAGTACTTTACAAAATTCTTATGAGATTACTCTCGTCACAATATATATACATCAAAGTAAACTAAAATAATCTTTTTTATGTTATAATTAATTTTAAAAATTATAGAAAAAATTTTTAAATTAAAAATTACAAAATACTTTAACTTAATATTATTATTTTTTTAAAGTATGAAACTATAATTATTATTAACTATAATTATATTTGATAATATTTATGAAGTAAAAAAGCTAAAACCACTTAAAAAGATTTATTCGACTGCATTATCGGGAAAGATCATAATAATAGCTATTACCTGTTTCAATGATAATTCAAGGTGCACAAGTAGTATTTAAGTTGTTAAGATAGAGATATATCTAAATGCCAATAATAAAAAATTATGATGGAATGATATTTTTGTATATTAATTATTTTTTTATTAACATTGACAATGTTCTACATAATATTATTCGATACTAATATGTATCATTAATTGTAATCAGTCTTGTGTTTCTCTCCAATCTTGTAATAAAATTACATAAATATTCAACACTATTTTTTCTACATACATTATTTTAATAATAATAATTTTTGCAGTCTTATAATTATTGTATTATAGATTTAATAAATAATTAATTATATAATTTTTCGTCATACATATTTTATAATACTTGATATTATAATTTTTAATTTATGTTGTATTATTCTTATAAATCTTTTAATTATTTAATTATCTTTATGCATACCCAATATTTTCATAGATTAAAATATAATCTTTTGATTTGCTTCCAATGATCTATAAGGAACTATGTAATAATTTTATAATGTTATTAAGTACCGACCGTGAATAAAATAAATGAGGAAGGATTTTTCATCAGAGAGATTCTTGATCATAATTTTAAACTGATAATTTTCAATGCCAATACTGCTCAATGGTATATTTAACTGCACACTGTGTGAGAAAAAATATATATAAAGTGCGTGATAATATGTGTAAATTGTATAATTTGCGTATAATTTCCGATGCCATTAGCCATTTCTTGAATTACAGTTAATCAAAATAATAAATGATTAACTTTTTGCTTTAATAACGTAAATAAATATACATATAATAATTTTAAAATATAATAATTTAGACTTACCTTATGTTTTTTGCTCTACATTGTACATGCTTTCATTGTACGCCTGTCATCTCGATATTTGCGTCATTCCCATCTACAAAAACAAAATATTTATGAGAATTTCTCAATCACTTTTTATCACTTGTGTTATTACCAAACATTGATAAATAATAAAAATTTAATGAGATATAAGAAATCGAAGTTATCTAAGAACTTTTATTGCTTACTTGTAACGTCATTGATACAGCAAACGTAGCCGTGAAAAAAAATATCAGTAAACTAAAGAACTTCATCTTTGCTGCGCGTCTAAAGCAGAACTAAACGCATTTCATCGATGACGCTTTGATTTTCGGAGGGTCCTGTTTCCCGTTAATTCATTTATTGGATATCGACAGCATCAATGTATAACGGTAATATCCTTACCTGTACTACCTGCCATTAAGGATTCCTTCCTTTGTGGAATTCAAAATTCCTTTTAATTCGAGAGGTCATTTACCTTACCAGAAATATACTAGAAATAACGATTTATTACAGACTGTACTAATTCTAAATGATTCTAATAATTTAATCTAAATACAATTGCTTTACCAATTTTACCTTTTATATTTAATAATTTAGAATATTAATTATTCTTAAAAGTTTGTAAGAAAAGCTGACTAAAACATTGCATTGATTGTATAGAAAAAAATCACAAGTTTTATCAAACATTTTTTTTATATATTCACATTTCTCGCAATAACATATTATATAAGAGACCGCAAAACGATGTGTTCTTTACATACATATATATACGTGATAACGCGTGATAATACACGATAATTCTCAGAAACTGCTGAACGAATGACGCAGAATATAAAAAACAATTATCGATAATTACGTTTTAATTGCGAAAGGCAATCGCGTAAGAATTTGCGAGATCGAACAAACAAGCTTCGCGATCAATTCTCTCTGATGGCATCTCTCTCTGTGCATCTTCACGAGTCTCTCTTCCGTTTTCCTCGTTCGCACTCTTGCGCAAAACAAGTCCGACGAGTTTTTATCCCGTTGTTTCCGACACTCCGAGACAGTCTGCCACATCGTGAGAATAAAGACAAAGAGAGAAGATATCGTTGATGCCAATCGCAAACCTTGTTATTCTCTGATTTCATAAAGAAAAATGCACATGAAGACACAAGCATATTTGATCTAATGGCATTAAGCAATTATTCTTACCAGTGGCACAATTAAGATATTATTTATTCTTTAAATATTAAAACAGTCAACGAAAAATTTCTTATTTCGAAATTATTGCACAAAAGCAGAAAGTAGAAAACAAAAGATAAATAAATAGAATTTGCTGAATTATTTTGATGGAAATTTAAATTTGATTGACCATTTCTGTATGCACTATATAACTTTTATTATTCTTATTCTTATTATTAATATAGGTATATGTATATCAGGATTGGCACGTTTTCGCCTTTCGTAGGAGACGATTTACACAACTACATGTATAACTTAAGTACGCTTATAAATATACAAAGAGTATTTTAAATTAAAATTTTTTAGACATTTTAAATATCGTGCTACGTGTTGTCCGCTAAGAAAATTCATATATAAATCGTCTCGATCGTCGCAAAATATCTTGTATGAGTATAAAAGTATTCTCTTAGTATAATAATAAAAATGCGCAGATATGTCATTAACGTATTCCGACATATGACATCAACCAACTAATTTAAACGCTGGTTTCGTCAGATTATATTTTTCTCTTTCATTCGTACTCAAGGATACTACAATATTTATCTGAAATTCTAATCTCTTAATTGTAATTTTTATCAAATATTTTATCGCATTAAGCAAAATATAGATAAAATAATTTCTATTTCTGACGCAAATCGCGAATACACGCTACTACAAATAACTATCTGTCTTCACACGATCTCTAATAAATGCTCAAAAACACTTATCTATTTTCAAAATCAAACTAGTTTTGATTTTGAAAAGAGTTTCGATGTGTACCTAATCATGTTCCTAAGAATGCATTCAAATTTACAAGTCGTAATTATAAATTTGGACATGTCACTAAGTAATTTGTTTACATTCTTCAGATTTTTGAATAATTCTCGTTAGTTGGGCGATATCTACGTCGTATTCGCACCGATTGTGATTTCTCGTGATATATATAAAAAATATAGATCAAAGTATTATGTAACTTTCGTAAGGTCAAGACTTTTCTGCAGGAGCCTTGATCCTGCTGTATCACAATATTTAACTGAAGATCAGCATGTCTCTGGTGTCGGCCGAGGCTGACGCGTGGCTCGACGCTGAACTCTTCGATCCTACTCCATCGTAAGACCCAGAGGAGGCATTGCTGGACGCGTGTGCATTGGCGTTTGCGGAACCTGATCCATTAGTGAATGCTGACGATTTACTGTTCGCTGATGCCGATCCGCCGTTGGAGTGCGCGTTGGACAAAGCATCGGCGGTGGCTTTGCCACCGCCAGACGCGATAGCGTTGGAGGATGCATCGGCTGTTGAGCCTGCGGGATGGAATGAATAGCGAATCATTTAATTATGATCAGTCCTGATGCCACAGCCTCCGCCATGGACGATGCTGACGCCTCGGCCTCAGGGCTTAGGCCTGTGGAAAAGCGAACATAAAAAGCTCGGTTACGACTAATGGCTTTTAAAATGAAAACACAAACACAGATGGATACGGAGTTTCCGATTGAGTCTTCCATCGGAGTGCTGAGTGAGTTTTTCATCATTTTCTCATCCAAAGGTGTTTGTGATCGATGAACGTCGACGAGGTTGCTAAAAATGTGTGCAGTGATGTAATATTTGATGATGTAGCAATGCACAATTTGTTTAAATGACTAATTTTCGTGAGCTTGGTCATTAATCGATGATGATGTGGTTTTTTAAAATTATCTTTTATCTTTTGTACACAGTACACACGGGATAAATTATGCGCTGAAAGTAAGAAAAAACTTGATTGATGATCAATTTACGAGGATATTTACATTTAATGGAATGTTACATGACAAAGATAAATGTTAACCAAGTATTATGTAATGATAGTTAACTATTGGTTAAGGAAAACCGTGCTTATTCCCGATGAAAGAATAATTATTTAGCTGTAAATTTTTCAAATTACATGCTGAACACTCTTAACTGTTAGAGTCTTGATGTTTATGTCTAAATTTTGAAAATGACTGCCCGCCGTAAAAGACATCACACGCGTATTTATGAGTAAAATACATATATACCTCCTCCGACTGATCCGCCGAGTACACCTCCTTGACCACCATATCCCCCATGTCCTAATCCAGGACCCGATCCTTTAACGCCATCTCCGTATCCTCCAAGAATATTACTTCCAGCATTAGCATTGGCATTGGCGTTAGCATTGGCACCAGAAGAACCGCCGCCGTATCCACCGAGATTCAATCCGGAAGAGCCATCATGTACGAATCCACCGCTGCCTTGACCACCAAGGGAGCTTCCTCCGTGACCTCCGT